ATTGTGTGAGGTACTACTAACCGATATGTAACCATGTGAGCTACTTTATCAAGTTTGATGTATAATCTCCATCATAAGGGTCCAATATACTTTGCCAAGGTATAAAGACTAATCTGAGCTAATGTGGATCCACTAAGCTAATGTCCATGAAGACTAAGGACCAACCCTCAACTGATGGGAGCCCCCTTAAATCCTAAGGTGGCACATAGTTCTGGGACTTGGGGATTTCTACTAATGAATCGAATGGACGTTGACTGTGAGCCTTCATCTTAACTCCGATCGGTGCCAAGTAAAACTCCCAAAGGAAAATGCAATTAACTGATACAGTAATAGTCTAATAATATTAATTACCGATGATAACTGAGTAGCTCATGAATCATGATTCAAAACTGATAATTTCTAATGCTAACTGAAAGACACTTTATCTGAAAGTATCTAAAATCATGAAACCTGATTATTTGAAACCATGCATATGAAATTTGCATAATTCTGAGTCATGAAAATACTTATATATTGAGAGTTCATGAAACAACAATGAAAATATGGAATTATAAGTAAAATCATGCAATTATAGGCTATTCATGAAGAACTGAATTTCAATAGAAGCCAATGATATCATAGAAACCCTAAGTTCTGTAGAATTTTAAACTTGAAAATCTGAAGTTTCTTTGGGACTCAATGGGTAAAAGGATACTCATTGATGAAATCCCACATACCTGGAGTGCTTGAATTCTTGAATGGAGACTTAAAGCTTTGGAACTCTAGTTCTTGCTTGAGAGGAACTTTAAAAGAGAGGAAATCTGATTTTTTTGGGGACTTATGTGAGAGAGGGGAGGTTTTGGATGATAAAATTTCCTTAATCCCACTTAGAATAGGTTAAAACGACATAGTATAGGGATTAAAAGAGTGAAAAAACAAAACGACCCTGATTTAAAACTGTCGACAGGTTGCACGAGGGGCATCTACGGTCTTTGGTTCCATCTACAGACCTTAGAACCCTGTTCATAGAAATTAGAGGGAATTTCTGAGTTGCTGATGTTTAATCTATGGACCAATCTATAGTTCGTAAAATGTTCTACGACCGTAAACCAGGCTCTTCCTGTTTTGGTTGAATTGCTAAGTTTCTGAACTTGATCTACTGATCAAGTTTGCGACCCGTAAAATAATGTTTATCAAACAACAAAACGTAAACTTAACTCGTAGATCTCAGACCATTTTTCCTGTTTCTGAAGTTTGTCTACGACCACCATCTATTGTCCATAGTTTCTTTACGGCACGTAGATGGAGTTCGTAAAACACAGAATTTCTGCAGACTTAGAATTTTTCGGTGGCTTATTTTGACCTAATCTGAGCTAGGAATTTCTGAGGTGTTACAAAGTGCGAGTTTAGAGAACCTCTAGCTTTAAGTTTGCTTGACAAGAGACATTATATAGTGTTTGTTTTGTTTGGCCTTGAATAGATTTCAATTATTAAACAAGATTCATCTTGCTGACCCCAACTTTATTTGAGGTTGGGTTATATTTTCTTATTTGAGACTTGGGAGGTGTGCAATCTCAGTTACCTTGCAAGACCATTTGGGTTGACAAAAGGATATCGAGAAGGTTTAGTGATTGGAAGGTTTTGGTTTTCATAGTACTTTCTTGAAGACCCCAAGGGATGTAGGTGTGGAAGTGATGCACCCTTTCTATGTGACAGGTAGAAAAAAGTGTTCAGCAGTGAATTCTCTGAAATTTATTTTGTCACAAGATACCATTTAGACTTAAAATTTAGTAAACAGGTGTAGTACACTGTACAGCGGTACTGCTAATAATTACCTTAGCTACCACTGAGGCTTACTTCTTATGAAACATTAACTGGATGTGCTGTTCATTATCTGCCTACTGAGTCAGTTAGGTCAGCCTAGCACAAGGCGACCATGTTATAACAGATTAGTCACTTTTGTTGTTCTCAACCTTGTTCTGTATTGAAATGCATTTTTCTTGCTAGAATTCTTTTGTATGCCTATCTTAGATTTAAATACATGGCTGTCACTTATTGCAGGGAGAAATAGATGTTTTGGCTCTTCTTTCGAGACTGGATTTGGGAAATGTCAATTTTGTAGAATCTCCTCCAGGTATGTCGATTTTGGTATCACACGTGATAGGTTGATAAACCCTGCGTGGGTTAGAGCATTCTAGTTTAATGTTTGTTTCCTTGTAGTGTTATCTTAATATGAGATGAATTGCAGGAGACGCAAACCAGTCTGTCCACATTGTTGCTGGTGAAGGTCTGGAAGCTTATCTTCCTCTATCAGATATGGTGGACATCTCTGCTGAAGTACAGCGTCTCTCTAAGCGCCTTGTCAAGTTGCAAGCTGAATATGATGGACTGATAGCTCGTTTGAGTTCTCCAAGTGTGAGTTCTCTATTTGCTAAATAAAATTAATTAAACGCCAAACATTTTCTCTAAAAAAATAAAATAAAAAAAGAACATACTCCTTGACTGTCAAAACAGGATATAGTCAAAATCTAACAATATTATGTCCTGCTTCTCCATTTCCGTTTCCATTTTCCCATGTCATGGACCTTATGGAGTTCCTATGTGCAGTTTGTAGAGAAAGCTCCTGAGGATATTGTTCGTGGTGTCAGAGAAAAAGCAGCAGAGGCAGAAGAGAAGTTAACTCTAACTAGAAACCGCCATGATTTCCTCAAGTCAAAAGTTTTGATTGCGAATTAGTTTCATTCCAATGATCTTCATCACCACTTTCCCTCATTCAACCAACTAGAGGTTAACTAAACTACATTCTCTATTTTTGGCTCGATATCAAGATGAATAGCCTCTTCTACCAGAACTAGATGGTGCAGATCATCTAATTGCATTTTTCTAAAGGCCATGTCCTTCATCTTTCTGCAGCTCGACCAGCAGTTCCATCAAAAGATTCTGATTTACTTATTCTGTGAGTGTTCTTCATCACTCTTTGAGCAATGCCGCGAAAAAAGAAGAAGCATCAAGTGGTGGTGGCAGATAACTGAAATTCGCGTTGAGAAAATAATAATTACGATAGGAGCCCCGTCATTACTATTTTGTCCATTACTTCTAGATGCATTGGATATCGGTCAAGTGTACAAATGAATATAAGAGGCTAGGATTATTTTTCTTGCTACTTCTGCGAAAATACTGTTTATTGATTTATTGTTACACATATAATATTTTTGAAATATAAGGTACGATTATATTTTGTAAAGTTACACAGTGTTAAGAGTTAATTATATTATATCTGTACACTTTTGGATTAAATTTTTTTTGTGAAATTTAAGGATTTTAGATACATCATTCAAAGTACGGATACTTACGTTTGTTGATACAAGACATCTGTCTTGATATATTGCTCATGTATTGATGCGTTACCTTTGTTGATACAAAACACACTTGTTTGATACATTATGCCCTAATACATTGTGTCAAAGTGATGTATTTGATAACATGAGAGAAAGTGAGAAAATAGAGACTTTTGTAAGTTTTTCAAATGGTAAAGAATTTTAGAGAATATGATAAAATAAATAGTATATTTAGATAATTTTTCAATATTATATTTTGACCGTTTGAGTCGTTTTGTTAATAGTCCTTCAAGATTATTTTTTTTTATATATAAAATGTTAGAATATGTTTTTTTAAAAAATAAAAACTTATGTGAAGTGAACAACGAAATCAATTTAGTATATCCAGAAATTTCACAAAATTTGTTTATGTTTACTTTTGAGAATAATTTTAAAATGTTAACTAAATATTCCGAAAGAGTATCAATGAATATAATACTTTTGAATTTGATATTATTTAGTATAAAAATATTAATTTTTTGAAGAACTAATTACAAGGAAAACGATTTATGATGTGGTCTACGTTTACTATACGGAAAAGGACCTAAAATACCCTTAAAGTACTGAAAATGGTACAAAATTACCCTTCATCCACCTATTGGCTCCAAAATGCCCTTCCCACCCACCTATTGGGTCCAAAATACCCTTGTCATCCACCTTTTGGTTCAAAATTGATCACTTATTTAACGGTTTTATATTTAAACTATTTAAATATTTTTTAAAATACGTGGCGCTCAACTATTTGTTATAATTTAACTTATTAGTGTAATTTACAAATCAATCCACTACCCACCCATTACTAATTAAATTCCTCTAAATTAATGAACCCGTTACATTATTAATGCAAACTACTGCCAATTGAGTGTTTTTAAAAAATATAGATAAATTATCATACACTCAAGTGGCTACATAAAAATCACCGATAAACTTAAAAGTCTGACTATATTCATCTTAATTATTCTTACGTCTCAATTATGTGATGTTACTTCATAGGTAACTTTTTTTCAAAATAATATATTAAAGGTTTTAAAATAAATCATAAATATTTAAAAAATTATATTTAAAAAAAGTGCATGAATTAATTCGGGATGTATTATTTCTTTACCTTTAATCATAAGTTTCTAATTCAATTTTGAAAGAAAGTGTCCTCCTAAATAAGCAGCTCAACCTAAATTTAATTGGGGCTTCGATTCAGATTCGAATAATTTTGAATGTCATTTTAAGTAATCTATAATTTCATCGTGTTTTAGTAGTGTTTATGATGATTTTGATATTGTAATTGAATTATTAATTGGGTGAGGTTTAGTTAGTAATGAGTGGGTAGTGGATTGGTTTATAAATTATATTAATAAATTTAAATTATAATTAATAGTTGAACGCCTAGTATTTAAAAAAATATTTAAAGAGTTTAATTTTAACAATTAAAAAAATGGTCAATTTTGAACCCAAAGGTGGATGACAAGGGTATTTTGGAGCCAATATGTGGATGAAAAGGGCATTTTGGAATCAATAGGTGGATGAAGGGTAATTTTTTACCATTTTCTATACATAAAGTTTAGGCCATTGTTTGTTTACTATATTATTAAGAAGTATTAGATAAAATAGTAATGGAGGAGATCTTTTTAACAACTTTACCTATTGATAGGAGCGGAGCCACGTAGGTTCTAGAGTGTTCAATTGAACACTTTTTATTAAAAAATTATATTATATATATATATACGTAAAATTTTGACATAGTTTTATATTTAGTAAAATCAAGAGAATAATATTTAAATTGTGTAGTTGATGTAAATAAATAAATGTATATGGTAATGAAAAGTAAGTATAAATATATTCATATACAAGTAGCAGGCCAAATAACTCCTTTTTTAGTTCCTTGAATGTTGTTGCAAAATGATTTTGCTTTTTTGTTCATATAAGTGAGCTTTATGTCTTGTATTTGGATTCCTTGGCATGGATTGCTTGGGCTGCAGTCAAAGTTCATAGCAACTTCTGTTGTTGATGTCCCTTCTATATTTTTGTATATTACATCATTAATCTTCACACCAGAAGTCTGAAAAATAATCACAAAAAATCAAATTACATTCATTATAATTTCCTCTATATGAAGCAAGATATGTTTTCATTTTTACGTATAAGACATCTGTAATGATCATTTTCTTCTGTTCAATTTATAAGTGGCTACCTAGTGGTGGAGTCAGAAATGTGGTGAAGAATGTGTAAATTTTCTTCTCAATTATATTAAGGATGTGCAAAATTAAATATGAATTCATAGTAACTAATATTTAACCACTATACGTCACATTATTTTCCAATAAAAGGTGTGCATCAGACCATCGTTAAGCTAAAGTGGCTCCACCCAAGTGGCCAAGAGATCTCGTTTCCCATTTCGAACAATAGATATGAGTGTCATGTCCCGTCACTTTGTCAGTCGAATTTTGCGTTGGGATAGAAGGGAAGAATCTAGAGTTGTGGAGAGGCTTATGGAGAACTCTAAAATCCATATTTTAAGAAGGCTTTGGAATCCCCTAGAAATCGTAGAGCATTCTAGAATGGGAACGTACGATAACAACATACTGAGTGAAATTTCACTAAATGAGGTCTGAGGAGGGATAAAGTGTACGCAGACTATCTTGAGGAGGTCAAGATGTTGTTTCTGATAGACCCTCGACCATTCGACAAGAGTAACAAAAATAAAAAGTCATTCCTTTGATGATCAATACTTCTAAGGACTGAGTAGAAAACCAAATTCTAGCAAAATCAAGAATTTCACATGTCTATTTTGCAAATAAATATATATAATATATCAACTATAAAAACAATTGAGAATATGTTCATTTATCAACTTTGATCTACATCCTATCTTCTACTTTTTGTATTTTCCTTTTTCTAAGTTTTTTAGTTTTTAGTTTTTTTTAAAAAAAAATTATAGATGTGAAAAATGCAAACATTAATTTGTTTAAATATGATTCTGATCAAGTGTTACCTGTTGTGGACAATCTTTGTTGTTTGGGCAATAATTCTGATCAATTATGATTGGATTATCAACGTACTTCATAACTATGTTACGATAATTAATATTTTTGACAAAACTTGTGCTAGGTCTTGCCCAAGATTTAATTCTTAATCCATTATCAGATCCTGTGAATATTGAATAAGATAATGTTACATTTTGCACCCCATCTTCTTCATATTCCCTTCCTAGACTTCCAATGCTGCAACACAAACAATAAAATGTCCACATAAATAAAATTGTATATCTAATTAAGTAGTATTATACCCTATATAAGCAACTTTTGTAGTGTACATATATTGGATGTACTGACCTTTTTTCTATTAAAAAAAACAAACAAATTTGGGGGCGGAGAAAGAAGAAATGGGGAGGAGATTAATGCGAGAAAATCAAACTCTCATCAACAAGGTGAAAGTTCAGATAGTCAGGCTGCTAAGATTTCCCTCCTTACTTAATTATGCCTAAATGACTTTGGGTGAAACTACACAAATGAACTGGAGTATGAATTATTCTCTTTGTTCACTTTTACTAGTCCACTGTGAATTTTACATTTTTTAAAGAGATAATAAATGAATTATCAGTTGATTGGGTACCTGAACTCCCACCCTATTGGTGAGAGATCGATTTTCTACCTTATAATCTCATCCCCATTTGTTTCCCCTTCTCCGATCCCCAAGTTAAAAATAATGAAGCATTTTTTTCACTATCATACCCATGTACATGTTAGTTAGTTTATATAGTCTTAGATATTAGTGACATGAAGAAGAAGTAATTAATGTTAAGGGTATAATATGAAAATAATAATAAAAAATTCTTAATAATATATTTAAATGACAAGTAAAAGTATATAAACCTACATTAACTTTTTTTTAAAAAAAAATTGTTTCTCTATTTAAAAAAAGAATTAAATCTGCACATGAAAGAGATATGAGTACAACGTTACGTTCTCTCTAACAATTTAACATTTTAGATGGGATGGTCGCAATAGTTATAGCATTACTTACCTAACACCATGTCCAGGTCCACATAAAATTTTCTCCATCCAAAGATTTCTTGTACCAGGACCAATAGATATACAATCATCTCCAGTTTTGATTCTACAACCAATGATAGTAACATTTGTTGATGATTGAACATGAATTCCATCTGTGTTTGGGCTTTGATCTGGGGCTATTACTTTTACATTTTTAACCATTACATTGTTGCAACTATTGATCACAAGGTGTGTTACCTGGCTGTTGATTGATAGTAAACCACTTACCACAACATCATTAGCCCAATTGAAGGTTATAGACTGCATTTTCCACACAGAGAAATAATTAGGACAATGTCATATTTCATGTTTTATTACTTTACTTTACTAGTAATATACAAGAGTCAAGAATCGGACACCTCTTCGTTGATATGTATGTTTCAAATTAAGGGTATTTATGTAATTTCAATAGTAATTTTATTACTTTACTTTACTATTATATAAAAGAATCTACAATCGGACACCTCTTCGTTGATGTATCTGCTTCTAGTCGAGGGAATTTATGTAATTTCTATATTTTTTCCGTTTAAATTATATTTTTGATAAATTTGAGAATTATGTAAAAAATATTATAAATTATAATAATTAACAATTTAGTATATTAGATAGACATATATATAAGAAATTCGGTTGACTTTATAAATTCTATCGGTGCCACATAAATTAGGAAAGAAGAAATAACATATATTATTTGAAAATGATGTAAAAACCACTATAGCTAATAACTTGAATTATTTGAAAGACATAAAAAATATGATTGACTCTTGAGATTATATATGCACGTTGGAACATATAGAGTAATATATATTATTTGAAGATAAAGTAAAAAGAACTATAAACCACAATAGTTAACTACTTTAAAATAATTTAAGATCATGTAAAAATTTGAATGACTCTCAGCATTTCATCTTTATCACATAAATAGAGACAAAAATAAATATGAATTTTTATGTATTTGTTTTAATTTGTTTGTCTGATTTTAATTTGACACGATTTTTTAGAAATAAAAAAAAACTTTTGAATCATAGTATCTTAAATTAGAGATATGCAAAATGTAACAAATTATTTTTTAATTCTCACTTGTAAAATTCAACTTAAAAAAATTACCTAACAAAAAAAATAAAAAATTAAAGTTAGTCTATGAAGTTATTAACAAGAAACATACCCTAGCTCCAACTGGACAATTATTATTTCCTGACTTTCTACAAGCCCAAAAACCATCTCCTTTAGCATCAATACTCCCACCTATAACTGAAATCCCATTAACCTCAATAAACAAAATCCAATAACCAGAATTACCAATTCCCCAATAATCCAATGGTGCAACAAGAGTTCCATCAATCTTTACTGTAATTTTACTTTTACATGGACCTCTAAATGTTGCTTCTTTTATTAAATAACGTCCCTTCGGAACGTAAATCGTCGATGGTTCAACTGAGGTACAAGCAGCTCTCCATGCATTTAGAAATGATTGAGTTGCATCAATTTGGCCATTTGGTTTTGCACCAAAGCTTAATACATTGTAGGTTGTTGATGCATTTGATGATTTTATGAATAAATTAAGTATAGAAGAAAAGAGGAAAATAATGAAAGGTGTTATAAGCTTACTAGTCATAATGTTTGAGTAAAGATGGATTGATTTTTTTTGTAATAGAAATGAAAGATTATGCACTATGATGTTGGGAAAAAAGGATAAATGATTATGGTATTTATAGAGTTAAGAAAATTGAGGTATTCGAGATGTCTTGCTTGAATTTATTGTTTGTAATTGAGGCAATGATTGGAGTAATGTACGAATGAATCTTAAAAGTATAAGTCGTACGTTGTTATACTAATATTTCCTCTACTCACTTTTACTCGTCTGCTATATCAAAAATAAATTTTCATATTTCCTTAATCGGTTTTCACCTATCAAGAAATAAAGAAAATAATTATGATAAATTTTTCCATGTTTTATTTTTTGAGAACTAATATTAAAAATCAAGTAATTTACAACTTGTCAAATATACTAAGATGTCCAACTATACTTATTTAGCTTCAAAAATTAAGAGATAATTTACTACTTTTGTGTCAATTTATCCTTGCCATTAAACACTTTTCATTTTTTAATACTGAAATGACTTGCAATTAAAAGGATGATAGTAAAAGAAAGAATCTTTGTTGGCATAATGAGATTTTTTTCTATGTAATTTTATTTTTTAAAAATATTTTTATCTTTTTAGCTTTAATATCTTTTACTAAAAAATAAAAAATTAGTTTATTTTAAAATTAAAAAAATATTATAATTTTTTAAATTTCTGGCGAAATCTTGGTCAAATTTTCTGGTCATTTAGCACAATAACTCTATCTATTTATTATTTCTTAAAGAGTGAGTCCGTCATACATGCACGAGTAAGAATAAATAAAAGAAGTAAGTATTATTTTCTTAAAGAAGTAAGTATTATTTTGAGTCGGTGTCCGCAGTCCATATTGGAACTTCGGTTAAATTTGAATTGCGCACTGTAGGGTTCATTTGAGGGGTGACGCTTCTAACAAAATTTTCTCTACACTCAAGACTCACACTTGACACCTTTAATTAAGGGTGAGACACTTTGTATTTATGCACGTACAACCATATTACAAGTTATTTGGCATTTTAATTTTTTTTCAATAAGCATGCTTGCTTCAAAGTGTATAAAGAAATTATATGCATGAAAACTAAGGTATCTTACATGTGCTCGATAAATAAATAATAGGTCAAATAATGACTTTGTATACAAATGTTTTGAGTACGGCTTTTATTTGACGGCTTTAATTATGACTTTGTATACAAATGTTTGAGTACGGCTTTTATTTGACGGCTTTAATTATGAAACTGGAAAACACTCTCAAAAACCCAAACAAAACGGAGAAATAAAGGGTACATTACAAGTTTGTAGATGTGTGGATATGTAATTTACGTGCGTGAATTGAAGATATAAATTTTAGGGAAAAGGCTTAAATACGATATTAAATTTTTAGAAAATATTTATTTATGCTATCAGTTAAAAAATAAGCTTATTCATACTATTATATTTTAACAATAGTTTTGCAAAACCATTTTTGACACGTATTGAACTATTATTCGTCCATGTCATTAACTTTTTAAATAAAAAATATAATTTTGGCAAAAAAATTGAATTAATTTTTTTTTATTAAATATACTTCGGCCACGTCATCAAATTTTTTATTAAAAAATCAAAATTCTGAATAAAAATTATTTTTTTAATCAAAAATATTGATGACGTGGTCGAATTATAATTGGTCACGTGTCAAAAATTGTTTTGCAAAACCAACATTAAAAAATAATGACATGAATGAGCATATTCTTTAACAGTAATGACATAAATGAGCTAAAATTTTAATTGGTGTCATAAATGAGTTGTATTTTCTAGTACCTCCTTATGGATTTGATTAGTCTTTCTGGTGGGTATCCTTAAGTCTTGAACCTATTCGTCGCGGACCCAAAACCAAAATGACTTTTTCTAAAAGTTCAATGGCATATATGAGTCTTTTCCCTAAATTTTATCTCTAAAGTATTAAGACCATCTCCAACTCTATTCTATTTTACTCTCCATTCTCTATATTTGGAGAGTAAAATAGAGAACGTTCTCTCTAATCAGTCTCTATTTTACCCTCTACTCTCCAATTATAGAGAGTTGAATAGTAGTATTAATACTCTGTATTTCACTTTTTGAATATTATATTATTAAATCTTCTTTTTGTAATTAACATATTATTTTTATATAAGACTATTAATTAAATCTCTAATGTATGCAATTCTTTTTAAATTTAATATAACATTTTAAAAATATTTTATTTTATATATACTACTTTCATCTCGAATTAATAATATTTTAAATATTATTTTTGATTTTCGTCACTTTGTGATACAACTTAATGTTATATTAATTTTCACTATGAAGAATGCACAAAATTTAAATGATAATATAAAAATTTTAATTTAAAAATTATAATACATAACATAATAGTTTAAATACAAGATAACAATAGGTACAATGCATATCATAATTATTTTAAAAATCATAACAATAATTTAGTAATCCGGTATGTCGTTTCTAGATTTAAAGATATTCGAAAAAGAAACTAGTGTATGATTTAAAGAAGTTGTGATTGTGATTGCCATTGTGCTTGTTGATTTCTTTTTTCAATTATTCGTAATTGTTTTTTAGAAATTCAGAATAATATATAATTTAATATTAAGTAAAAAGTTTCAAAAAATTAAAATTTTATATTACATGAAATTATAATATTATATAGGATGATTATTCATAAAAAATAAAAAAGATTTATGTTATGAAATAAGAAAAAAAAAGGAAATAGAAATAATAATATAATATTAAGGAGAGAGAAAAGAAAATTTTAAAGAGAAAAATAGAGAATTGGGTTGAAGTTGATTGTCTGAAAAAAATAGAGAACTCTATATTTGGAGAGTAAAATAGATTGTAGGGTTGGAGATGTCCTTAGTTCAAATGAATCTGATGATTGCATGCTACAACTGCCATTGAGAATGAATGAGGATCAAGAAGGGAACCATATTGAACTCGTTTGGATTGACTTAAAAAGTAATTTTTTAAAATCAAATTTAGAACTCGTTTGACCCAAGAATACTTGGGAAAAACTTAGAAAGTGGTGTTCGGTCATATAATTTGGCAAATATATTTGTCAAGTACCCCAAGTTTCAAAATACTAGAAAAAACTAGTATTTGTGTCAAATTCAAATATTTGAGAATTTTAGAAAATTCAAAATTACCCTAAACTTTTATATTCTATAAAAAAAATTCATTATTTATAGTTCCAACTAATATTTCTTACTACCTCATCTGAAAAAAGTTCGAGTCATTTGAGTGATAAAATTGAGAAAAAAGAATAATATGTGTTTAATGAGTTATAATATCATCATTCATTTTTTCTTATTTTTCTTCTTTTACTTGACATTTTTTCTTATTTTTTAAAATTATTTTTTCTTGTAAGCTTGTATTCAATTATATAAATTCTATTCTTAAATTAGTATTAATAATATTCATAACGTTCAAACCTTTCATATTCATAACCTCTTAAGACTTTCATATTCACAACTTCTAATTATTTAAGGGAAAATGTACGGTACCCCCTCAATCTATGCTCGAAATCTCAGACACACTTTACTATACTGAGGTCTTATGACCCCCTGAATTTATTTTATAAGTAATTTTTTACCCCTTTTTGTTCTGTGTGACACTAGCTTGAAAAAAAGTCAATCAACGTTGGGCGCACAAGATAGTGTCACGTAGGCCGAAAATGGGTAGAAAATTATTAATAAAATAAGTTCAGGAGGTAATAGGACCTTAGTATAGTATAAGTGTGTCTCCGAGATTTCGGGCATATGTTGAAGGGGTACTTGTGCATTATCTCATATTTAATGTGGAAGGTTACGTTAACACTATAAAATCACACTAAAATTGTATGTTATTTTATAGTCATCTTTGGTTGAAAAATTAGTGGAAGACATGTTATAATATTTGTAAGCTTTGAGGTGCATTATCTTTTTCAAATATTATTTCATATATTACTTTTAATTAGCAAGTAAGGCTAATACGTCAGCATATTTTTTTTATCTTCTAGATAAATTATTTTATTTTGTTATCCCAGAGATTCATTTCACGACTAATAATGTATCTGTTATTATTTTTCTTGACTCTTGTATATAGGATGAAATGATAACATCAAGCGATGGAGACTAATGGATTTTGAGCTATATATACTGGTTATTTTTTATTTTTTTAAGTGCTTAAGAAGTAATGTTTCTATTATATTATTTCTTTTTGAATTAGTTATGTTTTGTCAAAAATGATTATGTGGGAGAATTTATGATAAAATGTAATTTTTCCTTATTTTTTATGAGATACAATGTTTTATTTTGTTAACTTTGAGATTCATTTTAGGACTAATATTTTATTTATTATTATTTTTCTTGACTCTTGTATATATGACGAAATATATATATATATATATATATATATATATATATATATATATATATATATATATATATATATATTGGTTATTCTTTATTTGTTTAGGTGCTTAAGAAATAATGTTTCTTTTATATTATTTCCTTTTATTTACTTATATGTTGTCAAAAATGATTATATGTGTTTAAATGCAACTTTCTCCTTATTCTTTATCTTTTTCTTCTTTTGGTAGATAATTTTTTAATTTATTTAATCAGCTTTGCTGATTATAGGAGATATATCTATAATGAAAATGGTTAAACATTCTTGCATACTATGATTTTACAAGGAAAAATAATTTGATATGTCTAATATACTTACAACTCTTTCTTTATTGAAATCATACATTTAATATTATTTGTTTGTATTCATGAAGATATAAATTCTGAGTTTTGTAAAGAAAAATATTTAATTTATTCTCGTTAGACCTCTATATGATTCTTAGATAATTGATTATATTATAATGATAACACTCTTCAAAATAGTTATTTGCTCAGGCAAATTCATCTCTCACTTTTTTATTGATAATGTTAGTATATTGTGTTTGAGGCGTATGATATTTTAAAATATAGAAGTAGAAAATGAGTAAATGAATATCGATATATGTAATGACTTGGAAGGTCATTTTTGAAAAAATTGAATTATTTGTTTAATTTGAGTTAATTAATTGAGGAATAATTATAGTTAATTAAATTAATCGATAAAGTGATCAAATATTTAAAACACCTATACTATCAGGG